ACACTAATCACTTCGAAGCACAATACTGACTAGTTTGGAGATGAGTGGAAGAAAGTTATGGGTGGCCAAATCAAAACGTGGCATCCGTGCTTCAAGTCACTAATTTATTGTCTGAACCATGTTGGTTGATGCAGACTACTTGGTTGGGATCTGTATGACTATTGTAACCAATAGTTGGCGACTCTGGGTGTCATATCTATAAATCGATCACGATGGCGTAGGGGTATACACTCGTTGTCTGCCCTTAAATCGTGAGATTAAAGTTACTTCCTGTATTATATCCTTATACATAACCTTTTTTTAATATATTACTATTATTGAAGTCACTACTTCTATGAATTTGGTGTTCATCTTGTTGGGCTAATGAGGTGTGGCTACTTGAACTGATGCATAAATGTGCCTGGTCCTACGTTGTAGCTGACTGATTGATTGACTATAAATAGATTCCAACAGTTACCTGTTTTATCCCGACGAGTATAATGAATGGTAACAGTTGTGACGTATTTATGGACTAATACTAATTGTTAAGTATCTAATCTATACTTATTCGTGTTCCTCATATTATAAGCTTTATTTTGATTCAGACTATTATTATACGATTTACTATTCTTGACTTATGCCCTGTCTATTAATTACTATCTCCCACATTCACAGCCACTTTTGGCTTGATCTTATACAAATGTTATTTACCATTTTATGGTATGATGTGGTCTGTTTGGTTTGTATATAAACCCAGTATGTCTGATGAAATACATGATTTATATCACGGCGGCTGAGATTAGTATTGTGTACTCAACAGGCAAGCATGTCTGGACAGGAAGAATGACCGATAAGGATTCTAGACTGCTCGTATGGTTGTACGGGTTAATGATCCAGTTGATAAATCACTATTCTCTAATTCACGGTATCATTATGTTACATATCAAATAAGTCACAATTTATAACAGTTTTATAGGTGGACTGCTAAACACTTTCTAGTCTTAAATCTAATTTTCAAAACCTTGAAGAAAATACGGAAAAAAGAAAGTTTGAATGAGGATTCATTTCATAGAGTTATCTTTGTACGATGATCGTATGTTATTTTCATGGTTAATTATAATCCTGATATAGTTAAATCGGTTACTTAAAGATATCGTTTCAGCGCATTTAGGATTGATGGAAGGGTCTTTAATGACCTACTTTTATCAACAGAACGCGATTGGTGTAATGTACTTGTTTGTTTAACTGTACCAAAGATATTCTTCCTTCCGTTGATTGTGACCTTGTACGCGCTTACGTTCGCTCAGTGATTCCGCTTGTATTCCTTCGGCACAATCTCGTTACTCTTTCGATACCACGAGATCGCCAACAAATATATTTCGCTACAACCTTCAACCGCCTTCTGATATCTGGTACTCAACCTTCTTGTAGTGATGATCATAGTCGAACGCGACTCGACGCCAGGCTACAGGTCAGTGATACACTGGCTCAAGTTTATAAATCTTACCATCAGTTTAACTAAGTTTATGGTTATTCTACGTAGATGACACATTTATTATCTTGAAGAGAAGCAAATTCAAAAACTAATCATAAATAGATTCAGAACTCCTTCAATGATATTAAATCTACAAGGAAAGAAAAATTACAAAACGAACCCTTACTTTCGGATGTATTACTCAGCAAAACAAACACAGAACGCTGAAAATACGTGTATACAGGAATTCAACCCATACGGATGAAATACTCACTTACAATGATAATAACCTAATAGCAAACAGGCTGAGCTGTTGACAAACACTATTCAAAATAGCCACACAAAAAAATATGACACCATTCTCAGTACCTGAAAAAACTGAAAAAGACTCTTTTTCTGTCTATCCTCCGTAGAAAAAAAATAACTACCCTAGCAACTGAATCGAAAAATATCTGGGAAATCTAAGCAACATCTCAAAATTACCCAAAAAATACAAGAAACAGATAATGCTATTATATGAGTAAAACATTTCAACAATTACATACTTACTTACGCCTGTTACTCCTCGCGAAGGAGCATAGGCCGCGCACCAGCATTCTCTATTCAACCCTATTCTGAGCAATCCTTTCCAGCTCTTCCCAGTTCTTATTCATCTTTTTCATATCTGATTCTATTTCCCGATGTAATGTGTTCTTTGGACTTCCTCTTTTCCGCTTACCTTTAGGATTCCAAGTTAGCGCTGGTCTCGTAATGCAGTTTGATGATTTCCTCAATGTATGTCCTATCCATTTCCTAATTTCCTCCTCAGATGAAATCTGGTTTGTTCTCTGCCACAAAAGGCTGTTGCTGATGGTATCCGACCAATGGATATTGAGTATCCTGTGTAGACAGCTATAGATAAATACTTGAACCTTCTTGATGGTGGTTGTATTAGTTCTCCAAGTTTCAACTCCGCACAGTAGAATTGTCTTGATGTTCGTATTGAAGATTCTGACTTTGATGTTGGTTGAAAGTTTTTTTTCAGTTCCATATGTTGTTTAATTGGAGGAATGCTGTCCTTGCTTTGCCAATCCTCGCATTTACGTCTGCATCTGAACCTCCCTGTTTATCGACGATGCTTCCCAGGTACGTAAAGGATTCCACATTTTCCAGAGTTTCGCCATCAAGAGTGATTGGACTGCTGTTCTCCATGTTGTGTTTGAGGACCTTGGTTTTCCCTTTGTGTATGTTGAAGTCTACTGATTCAGAGACTGCTGCTACACTGGCTGTCTTTATCTGCATTTTCCATGTGTATACGATAGAAGGGCTAGGTCATCTGCGAATTCCAAATAGTCTAGTTGGTACTGAGCCGTGCATTGTATGCCGTGTTTTCCCTCAGATGTCGAGGTCTTCATAATCCAGTCGACCAGCAGAAGAAAGAAGAAGGGAGAAATGATTTTAAGTCCTTGTAGAATCATTTCACTTCATTTTATGCAGATCACAAGATGCATTACAAAGATATGTAAAGAATAAAAAACTGTGTGTATTTCAGACTAAAAATGTCTCTACTGGTTACATAATTGATCAGATACAAGATTAAATCATCACCACAAAAGTGTAATTTAACCCTGACATATAAAATAATTTTAATAGTCGAATTCATGAGTCAATTGAAGCCAGATCATGATGGGAGCACTGAGAGACCATTTTAGTTCTATTGTGGGACTTCCCATCAGTGAGCATCCATCATCCCATATCGTGAGATTTGAACCCAGGATCTATCGATCTAGCGCGCAAGCGCCTAACCTCTGTACCATACTAGTCCCATACTAGGATGAAAAGGCTATCCAATGCTTTCAGGTTTTCCATGGTGGTCTAGCTTCAATTGATTCATGAATTCAATTATTAAATTTACTAAAATCTCTACAAAACCTGTCTCTGATTATGATCATCATATGATCACTAGTGACTGGCTTCAAGAGTTATTTTTTTGAGTTCTAGTGAGAAGCTGTGATCAGTGGAGTTCAACCAAGATCTATTGTGAGATATTAACTCACTGAATATAATGGTGGACGGTGGCTTAATTTCGTGAAATTAATTGAAGTTAGACATTAACATCATTGGATGTTGGCCGACTCAATGGTCTAGAGGTTAAGAGTTCACGAGCGAGATCTCACGAGGCGGGATCATAAATGCTCACTGTTGGGAAGTCTCATACGAAGATGAGACTGTCATTCATTACTTCCAAATTTCCCATAAATTCAATTATTAAATTTACTAAAATCTCCACAAAACCCCTCAGTGAACATCAATTAATCACTGATGATTTGAATTGTAATGAACAAGTTCATATCATTCCTTTGTTTGTTTGTTTTTGTAATAGAATGAATAGATTATTTAATGAATTCATCATTCAACCACTAAAATACAGTTCGAATCCCACATCACATACTTCGTTTTGAGTGTTAAGTAGTATTCAATATCCCTTAGATATAAAATTTAACTCAGATCTGAGTAATCAAATTTATCCTAGATAAGTTTTACTTTTGAGAAGGTTTCATATCAAAAATTCCTTTATTTATAATGTATTCATTGAATATGTACTTCTTGACTATTTAACAAAGAAGTTATTGTTTTCAACAGAGAATTTACACTAAAATGTATCATATTACTAATTACTTAAATTACAAGTAATCAACATTTTTTGTATACCAAAATATTGACGTAAATATGTTTTTCATAAAACTAACGTAATAAACAAATTACAATTTAATAATTTAGATCATTAAGTCAATTCAAGTTAAACTATTATGGAAAACGTGAAAGCACTGGACGGCTGTTTCGTCCTATTGTGGAACTCCTCGTTGACAATGAGCATCCACAATCCTGCCACCCCGCACAGGATTTGAACCCAGTCTTGCATTCGAGCGCTTAACCATTAGACCATTGAACTGGCCAGTATCCAACTAATCCACGAAATTGAACTACCGTCTTTTGTATTATTATGAATGAGTTATGATCTCATAAATAGACCTTGATTGAACTCTATTAATCACTGCTTCATAATAGAACTCTATAAAATACCTCTTAAAGTCAATTATTAATAAAGTATATAATGTTTATTATTTAGACTACAGAATCAGTTGACATTCAACAATGTTAATGTTTAACTTGAACTAATTCATTCAATAACAATTTCTATAATGAAGATATATTAATGAATACCATCGTCGTACTGATCCTATAGAAGACTTTCAATTCAATCATAGATATATGATAAACAGATACATTAAGTAATCTTAGTTTAAATGACTTAGTTAACTTAATGTTGTAATATGATAACAAGTGTGGGTGTAAACAACAACAACAACAACAATAATAATAATAATAATACATTCAGATGAGAGGGTGGGTGGTAATGGTAATAGCCCTCTATTAGTAATTGTATATTACTCTTAGTTTATTTACATAAGAATTATGTAACAAAGTAAACATTCAATATATTGTTCCGATAGATGATTATTCATTATAAATAAAAGGTAAATGGCCAGTATACTACTATAGAGATCAATTAGAAGGAATAGATCATAATAAAGGCATTATGTCTCATCGTTTATATGTATTAACTATTATCAGTACAATTGTATTATCTACAATTATGCAATCTGTTACAGGTAATTATGTAATAATGAGAATTATAATTGATATACTTAAATGAATCATTTACTTACTTACTTACGCCTGTTACTCTTAATGGAGCACAGGCTGCCGCCGACCAGCACTCTCTAAACCACTATGTCCTAGGCCTTCTTTTCTAGTTTTATCCAATTCTTGTTCATTTTTCTGATGTCTATCTCTATTTTCAGGGCATCATGTGTTCTTCTTTGGTTTTCCTCTCCTCCTTAGAACTTTGAAATGAATCATTTACCTTTTGAATTGTTTAAATATGTTTTCTATAATTCAATATTCAGGTGGTTCATTGTTTGGAGATGAAGTGACTAGGAGTAAGTTTATTTGAATATTGATAAAGTTTTATTCTTTGAATTGAATAGTGTAGACACGATGGTTTATTTTGAACAAAGCTAATAGGAATGTGTTAGTCTAGGTACTTATACGATAAAATGTACACATAATACTTAAGATCAATGTTTTTTTGGTTAGTCATTCAGATCGTAACATAGAATTGGTGATGAATTCGTTGTTTCATATGAAATCTTCTTATCGATTGGTTAAAGCTGGTTATTTAATAATTGAATACATAAATGGATTGAAGCTAGACCACCATCATGGAAAACTTAGAAGCATTAGACAACTATTTCGTTCCAATACGAGACTCCTCAGTAGTGAGCATGCATGATCCCACTTTGCAATGTTCGAACCCAAGACTTATCGATCTCGTGAGCGAACACTTCACCTTTAGATTACTGAGCCAGTTGGCATCCAACGGTGTCAATGTCTAACTTCAACCAATTCATGAAAACTAGTTACATAGTATAGTATCATACGGAATTAGTCGTTTAGTAAGATTCAGTTAATGAAATCAAGGTGGATATTTTAAGATTATAATGAATCTACTGAGTGAATATCATTAGATGAACAAAATATAAGATTAGTTAGTAGTTAACATTATTACAATACAATTATGACTACTATGACAAAGATAAAGCAGCCTCAACAATAGTAGGTCTCAACATATACAAAGGGTAAACCAAGATTCTCCGATACAATACAACATGTACCAATCGAATCACACTTGACGGAGAAGCTTTAAAGGATGTAAATACTGTTACATATCTGGGCAAAATCATTGATCATCACAATGGATCTGATATATATTTGAAGGCAATATATATCTATAATTCACTGAATAATGAAACATACTTTGCCACTGACGATTGTTCAATGAATGATACTTTGTAATTGTCTTTCATGTAACATCTGATCATTGTTAGATTAACTACTACTAAACATGATAATTGAAACTGTGTTTCAGCTACACGTGAGTTCTAATGTGAATGTGTTTTATAACTAATTATTTATGCAATTTCATACACCATATAATTAGTTTAGCTAAGATTCCTACATGACTGATTCACCAGTCGTTTGTATTCACTTAGATCGTAGAACATATCAAGTTGTCTTTTCACAGAAGATGACATCATTGATAAGTTAACTTGTCAATAACTAACAGTGTACTTCGGTCTACTGTAAATCAATATGACAATACTCGGTAACATTTTGAGATGAACGTGGATAACGAATTTAACACATTACAAGAATCCTAACTCATCACTCAACTATTTATATTCGCTGATGTTTGGATTGAAATGATCAGCAATCTTAGTAATTGAATCACTTTCTCAGTAAATATGAAAGTTGATGACAGATGATCATTGTGATGGATCGATATATTGGTCTACCGAATAATTATCATTAGAACAGAGATGAACTTCATACGACTATCAATCATCAAGGTATTCCAGGATAAGTAAACATTTGAAACGGATCATGGTCTGAAATAACGACAAGTTATGCAGATCTTTTCAATGGTCTATCTATACCGTTCATGACATCTGTATTTACTACAGTTTTGAATAAATTACATAATTACTCACCATATATTTATGATTGATTGAGTAAAATATGAAAGTTTATTTTAATTGCAGCCCATACAACGAGTAAGTTTCAAGTCCTTACCATTTATGGCTATGTAAATTGAACTTCTGTTGTCTGTAGTCTGACATCATAAAGCAAACACTTTGAACTATTACACGAATGAGAATCCTGTGAATTTCCCTCTCTTAGGTGAACAGGTTATTTCATACTAATCTTGATTGAATGATGAAACGGTTAGTTGAGTATGCGTGTTTGTGTGTGTGTGCAAAATACATGCTAAATCGAATAATCTCCTATGTGTAAATCAATGAGTCTTTACTCATATCATTATTGGTTGGGATGTGAGTTGATCGATCAATATTCCATCCTGAATAATACGAATCGAATAATTAACACTTTCTCTAATGATGATATAAACGCTACACTTTCGAAACAAGTAAGTGACTAACTGAGTTGAGTAGAACAGTAGGTTGGCTTTTTAAGAGGAAGATATAGCGTTCGAATCCTAGTATATGAATACCAACATCACCAACTACGTATACCCAACAAACGATTGCCAAAGAGGACAGAGAGTATGTGTTCCGTTTCGAGGTTGACAGCCCAGAGAATCTTATTGATTTTATACAATTTGAAGTTTCATGAAAAGTTTTCAAAGCATGTAATATATATATCAACTTACCTTGTTTTTCCAACAATTATAGCTACAGTTATGGGTTCAGCAAGTAAGTGGTTATGTCAGAAATTATTCAGTTGTTCATTTAATCTATCTATTCATATTATTACACAATTCTATGGTTAAGAATAACTGTTGTGAACAGTTTGAGAGTATACAAACCTATCAGTAGATTAATGGATTATTCAATTATGACATTGCGAACAGTTGTAGAATAATATCAGTGCTTCAAGGATTTCCATGGTGGTCTAGCTTCAATTGACTCATGATCTGAACTATTGACATTACTGAAATCTCCATAAAATCCCTTCTGGTACTAATCAACATATGCTCACTAGTGACTGGCTTCAAGAGATATATCTTGGAGTTCTAGTGAGAAGCAGTTCAGCAGGGTCTGTTATGAGATCGTAACTCACTGATGATAATGGTGGATGTGTTACTGAATTTCGTAGATTGGTTGAATTTAGACATTGACACCGATGGATACCGGCCGGCTCAGTGGTTTTGAGGTTAGGCGTTTGCACGCAAGATCAATAGGTCCTGGGTTCTAATATCGCTAGGCGGGATTGTGTATGTGCACTGTTGAGAAGTCCCACAAGAGGACGAAACGGCCATCCAGTGCTTCCAGGTTTTCCATGGTGGTCTAGCTTTAATTAACTTATGATCTCAATTGTTCAAAAGTTGTAGATTAATTTCAGTAGAAGTTAATTCCATGAAAATTAACAGTTTACTCAGACTAATATGAATAACCTCTGTTAGCCTATCCATAAACAAAGCCATTCATCTAACCAATTGGACTTTGATTTGAATTCACTATTTACCAAAACTGTTTTCTTTTTCTCGAACAATTTAGACTCCTTGAAACTATCTTGGATAACCATTTCATCAATTTCTGTGATAGTGATTGGACTGATCAATGGTCATTTAAGAAGATTCATCTTCTAGAATATGATAATCGTTGGTTATAACAGAAACTCATTTTGCATGTTACATTACTAGTATTCTTTGAGAAATAAAGAAATACTTTGGTGTGTAAATTGTTCTATGTTTGTAAATTATGCGGATAGTTACCATAGATGGTTTTGGTCGAATAGGGGTGTATTCTTCCCTTAGGTTAAACATAGACCCATTGTTTATATTTACTATTGAGAGAAGGTGTAGTTTAACCAACGATTGAAGTGTCCATTACACAACTACTGAATTGAATAGTGTCCTGTAAGTTGTTCGATTAAATTGCTGTGTTGTATAATAGACCTATGAATAGTGTAATATTCTGTTAGATCAGCACAAAACACAGAACACTTTTCATTTTAATATGCTATATATCATTTCCTTGTTCTGGCCCCAAATGCCTTGGTATCTCCGAGACTCGGGAAAATCAGTTCTCACTCTCGAAATCCCCTCACGTGAACATGCGTATAAAGCCAATGACAAGGAAGTCCTACTCACTGCTTTCTCGCACAACGGGTGTTGTTTACGAAATACAGAGAACGAAAAGGGAATATCTAATTCTTTAACCGGATTGGTGGATATGGAAGATCCATTTAAAGGAATCGGAAAACCCTGATTCCAAACAAATGGTTCCCATATGCTGGCTCCAGTATCCTGAAGGAACAAATGGCTTATGAACCAATCGTTAGTCACCGGCTACCAAGGAACTGCAACTCCTAACGTTGCTCCACTGCGTAGTGGATTAGACCTTGAGGTCGAAGGCTCCGGTTGTGGCCCCCTAAGATAATCACGTGCTTCGGTTTATGTGACGCACATCTGTTTGGTGCCCCCTTGTACCAATGTTTATGTGTTAGAATAAATAAAATCCTTTTCCAGTTGTATTCCAACTATTTCAGTGATGGATGAAATGCATTGATTATACATTAGATACCCATAAGATCTGTGTATGAATAAGTGAGTAGATTTTGGTTAATGGCTTGTCGTTGTATTTTTGAAAGGTGAATAAAATCTCCCCTTATCATCATTGTTCTGCGTTGATTCATACGAATCTTATGTCTTCTTCATGTCATATTTCAGTTATAATTGGTGATCACAATTATCATACAAACACATATATGAAGAATCATGTCTTACATTTACCCCCCCCCCGAAATATCTAGATTATCAACATAGTATGATCATAAAAAGAAGAGCTACATGTTAAAGAATATCAGACTGAATCTAATTCTTGTTTTAATAACTTCAGTTATCAGTAAGCATATCATTTATTCACAGTATATATGTCCATTTAAGTTTGTTAGTTTTATGAAATCTCTGAAGAAAAAGTATCTGGGAATAAAACAGACCAATTATGTATTCAGAAGTGAAAGTAGGACATACGATGTTTACCTGTTTGTAGTACAGAACAAATAATAGTAGTTCAGCTTCAACTGATTCATGATCACAACTATCAAAATTAGTATAATATCCACAAAAAAACCCTTTTGATACTAATCAACATGTGCTCACTATTGACGGTCTCCAAGAGATACTTCATGAAGTTCTAGTGAGAAGCAGTGATCAGTAGAGTTCAGTCGAGTCTGTTATGAGATAGTAACTCACTAATGACAATGGTTGATGTGTCACTGAATTTCGTGGATTGGTTGAAGTTAGACATTAACACCGTTGGATGCCAGGTCAGTGGTCTAAAAGTTAGGAGTCCACGCGCGAGACCGGTTGGTTCTGGGTTTGAATCTTGTAGGCCTGCATCAAGGATGTGTACTGTTGAGGTGTCCCACAATAGGATGAAACGACCTTCCAGTATTTCTAGGTTTTCCATGGTGTTCTAGCTTCAATTGACTCATGAATTCAATTAATAAATTATAACAATCTCCACAAAACCCCTCTTTGATTGTAATAGTATTCCTTTATAAATTCTTATATAAGCGTATATTGGGCGTCTGTATGAGCTAATGATTCTTTTGTATTTGATGACTAGTTTATTTCGAATCGCAAGTACAAGACGTTCATGTCTGTCTTATTAGATTATACCATTTCAGGGATGATAGTAAGTCATTTGAACTAGTAGCCACACTATAACTTAATAAATCCATGATCCATGATCATCTAACTAACATATTACTAGCCATTATTCACTCAATATAAATAGCTTGATACTAATCCTATGGCTTATATTACCTTAGTAGTAAAGTCTTAAATGATGAAACTGATTGAATAGAAGCATTAGTTCATACAAGATTTCAGGTATGACTTCTTGATGAAAACAAAGTGTTCTACAGACTATTTATATCCATTTATCTACATGTGGAAAGTATTTAACTGTACTAGTTTCTTTGTTTATATTAGGAATATAATGATACTCTTGAGAATTGTTCTTATCAAACAAGACATTCATTTGTCTATTCACCGTTACGATTTATTTCAACAGACTAAACCATTCCATAAAGAAAGAGAGAGAGAGAGAGAGGGAATGAGAAAGAGACTCAGAGAGAGACAGAGAGAGAGGGTATAAGTAGAGATGTGCAATTTGTCCGTTTCCATTTACTTCCTTTTAATATACAAAACAACAATTAATCAGTTCATAATGATAAATATCTATCTTAAATAAATTCCCTTGATACTGTTATTCAGTTATTAGTTTGTTTTCTTTGATAAAATTTACATTGTAGAAACATGTCAATGATTTAGTTTACATGAAAGACTAAAGGTCCTTAGTTTGAATCCCGTGAGCGTAATCATAGATGTGTATTACTGATGAGTTCCATACTAGGACGAAACAGTCGTCCAGTACTTCTAGTTTTTTCAATGATGATCTAACATCAATCGTATCATGATCTTAATTAAAAAACTTAACAATCGGTTCAAGAAATTAATAACTACCTGAGCTTAATCGTTTAATGGAAAATGCGTCAATATTTGAACATTAAGTTGGAGATGTATTCCACTGAATAGTTACAAATAGGATAAAACACATATCATCAATTCCATTGATGGTTTTAATTTAAGTATCTTGAATAATATTTAAATGAAAGGATAATATGAATGATGTTTGTTTACGTTTGTTTCATAATGAAAAGTGGACTAAATTGACAGCGTTGTATAGAATTAGGTGTAGACATTTGTATTAAGAAGGGGTTTTGTGGTGATTGTAGTAATTTCAATGATTAAGATCATGAGTCAGTTGAAGCTAGACCACCATGGAAAACCTGGAAGCACTGGACGGCCATTTCGTCCTATCATGGGACTCCTCAGCAGCGCGCATCCACGACCGCGCCCCCTGCGAGATTCGAACCCAGGACCTACTGGTTTCGCGCGCGAGCACTTAACCACTAGACCACTGGGCCGGCATCCAACGGTCTTAATGTCTAACTTCAAATAATCCACGAAATTGAGCGACACATCCACCATTGTCTTCAGTGAGTTACTATCCCACAACAGACCTGGTTGAACTCCACTGGTCACTACTTCTCACTAGAACTCCGGGATATACCTCTTGAAGCCAGTCACTAGTGAGCACTAGTGCGCACTGCTGAGGAGCCCCATAATAGGACGAAACGGCCGTCCAGTGCTTCCAGGTTTTCCATGGTGGTCTAGCTTCAACTGACTCATGATCTTAATCATTGAAATTTGTATTAAGCATTAATCATCATTGATCATCATTTTAACTTAGAAACATGTGAAATTTATAAGTTGAATTCATGAGTCAATTTAAGCTGGAGTAACATTGAAAACCTAGAAGTACTGAACTACCGTTTCGTCCAAGTTTAGGACTTCTTCTTGACAGTGCACATCCATAATCCTGCACAGAGGATTTGAACCTAGGACCTTCGGTCTTGCGCGTGAACGCTTAATATGTGGAATCGTCATGAAATCAGTTTTATAAATTTGTTTTGCATAAAGCTTCAATAATGTAAGAATACAGTTTCATAAAACTTATCAAATAGTTCTCTTGATAACGTTGCATAACTGTAGTTGACTTCTAGAAGTTTATATTTCAGTTTATTGACAGCCTTCATCAACGATGAATAAACTTACGATTACCTTAGCGATATACTAAGTGACAATGTGAAATTGAATGAGAATTAGGAAAATCAGTCTAATCATAGTATTAATTTTTTTATAGGGAGGGAGGTGACTCATTTGTTTGACCTTACCGTACCAATCATATTGTTTGGGAACTTACAATTATGAGGAGGGGGGCTGTTCAAACTTCTAGGTCACCAAGTTTCCATATGTATATTTACTGTGACAAATTTTCCTGTTTCGAGTTTGTTTTAATTTATTAATTATGCCGGTTAAGAAGTACCATCACTCAGGTTGGTATATTTTCCCCTTCCTCTGTCGATTGGAGAAATGAGATACTAAATATAATCGGGGAGACGTTGTGGAGCAAAGCCGGTTGTAAATAGTTAACGATGAGTACGAATGATAGTTAATCGATTAAAGTTAGACATCAACACTGTCGAATACCGAATGAATAGTCAACAGGGTAAGAGTTAGCATGCGAGACTGAAGGTCATGGGTTTGAATCCTGCATACAGGATCCTGTATACGGGATCATGTATGAGCACTGTCAAACAGGAATCCCAGACTAGGATGAAATGGTTGTCCAGTAATTCCAGGTTTTCCATAGTGATCGATTCATGACTTTAACTATTCAAAAATTACTACACTCTTCATATATCTCCATTTTCATTAAATTTTATTTTAATAATCAATTTCAAAAGAATCCACCCTTGAACAATTTTTATAAAATTTATAATCTGTTTAAAATACAAAAAAAAGTTGCCGTTGTCAAGGCTACTAACATACTGAAACAAAAATATAAAAAAATATAAGCGATTCAATGACATAATTTGATCTTAATGATGTTCACGTGATTACTAAAATCGAATATGCACTACCGACTAAATGAGTATGAAGTCTTTTTTTTGTTTGATTTGAATCATAATATACTTAGTTACTTATGCCTGTTACCCTTCATAAAGGAGTATAGGCCGTTCATCAACATTCACTATCCAACTCTGTCTTTGGCAATCCTTTCTAGTTGTCATTCGTTTGTTTCATGTCGGCTTTCAATTCCCGAAGTTGT